TGTGAAAAGGATCTACCCTTGGACTAATGCCTGAGGTTTGGTAGAGGAGGTTAAGTCTATAAAGTAGGCTGAGAAGGAGCAATCAGAAGAAGGAAGCCTGGAAGCTACAGAAAAACATTAGTTTAAGGGGGAGAGGGAGTGGATATAGAATGCTGCTTAGACATTGAGTAAGATGAGGGCCAAACTATGTTTGTTGGATTTAAAGTTATGGGGATCATTAATGACCTTAATAAGAACTGTTCTTCAGGTGTGATAAAAGCAGGTGTCAGATGGGATTGGGTTGGAGGAGTATGAGAAGTAAAGAAATTGGAGGGAATTTAGACAACTCTTTTAATGAGGTCGGCCGTGAAAGAAGAGAATGGTAATTGGAGGAGGAGATGTGAGATTGAGGAGGTTAAGTAGGAGGAAGATTTTTTCAAATGAATGAGTGGATGGATGGTTGGATAATCCATTTGAGTTATCTCATTTGAGTGAGAGGTTAATGAATGCTGAAGAATAATTAACAAGGGCTCTAGGGAGACGAGGGGGGATTAACTGTAATATCCAGGTAGAAGGGGACCACCTTTAGAGTGGAGATTAGAACAGCATGGTGGAAAAGAAATAAAAATAAATAAATGCTCTCTGTTGTTTATTTAATACATCATTGTAAATTCACTGAATGTTAAATCAGGTGGTTGAGAGCCTTTTATCCCATTTGTAAGATGCAGCTATCATTTGATAGTTTTATCATTTCTGCTGCCAGCTACTTTTGATTACCTCTGTCAGGAAAATACATGTATTTTCCCTGACCAAAAACAACATGCAGTAAATACTCTGGTTCTTTGGGAAGATTATTATTTTCTATACATATGACATCTTTTCCCCCTGTGTTTAAGGTACTTCAGTTTTATTCTAATGCAGGGAGTTTTGTCAGAACTTCTGTTTTCACTTTCTGTGACTTTTTTCCTTGTGTTTTATGAATTATAACAAAATTCCACTGCAGGGGGCAACTATTACACTTCACAGACTAAATTTGACCCGAACAGTTAAGTAGTTGGTGTCATGAGCAGAAAAGGCACAAATCCCCTTTTCTTCAGAAGACTCTTCAGTAGACTTTTATGTTAGAGTGGATTTTTGAATAGAAAATAACTTGTACATGATAGTAAATTCAAGAGGTAAAGACTTCGTGCAGTAGAAAGGTCTTTTGACTCCTGTTCCCCTCATTTGCTCTCTTTCCTTGCCAGAGTAGCTGGTGTTACCATTTTCTTAAGTATCCTCCCAGAGATTCTGTACATTTACAGACAAACTCACATATAAATATAATTTTGTTCTTTGTTTACACAAATGGTATAATGTACCTTTTTTGTTCATTTAACATTATGTATTGAAAATTGCTTATATTAGTGTATTAAAGAACCTTTTCATCCTTCATGGCCACATCGTATGGACATACCACTGTGAGCTAACGGGTGTCCTATTAATGATGCTAGTGTTTGTGATTAAAATTGCTTTTTTAGGCAGTAAAAGCCTTTCTTTCTTTCTTTCTTTCTTTCTTTCTTTCTTTCTTTCTTTCTTTCTTTCTTTCTTTCTTTCTTTTCATACAAGTTAGTTAGCGTATAGTGCAATAATATTTTCAGGAGTAGATTCCAGTGATTCATCCCCTATGTATAACACCCAGTGCTCATCCCAAAACAGTGTCTTCCTTAATGCCCCTTACTCATTTAGCCTCTCCCCCCTCCCACAACCCCTCCACCAACCCTCAGTTTATTTTCCGTATTTAAGAGTCTCTTGTTTTGTCCCCCTCCCTGTTTTTATATTATTTTTGCTTCCCTTCCCTTATGTTCATCTGTTTTGTATCTTAAATTCCACATATGAGGGAAATCATACATTTCTCTGACTTGTTTCATTTACGTAATGCTCTTTAGTTCCATCCACGTTGCAAATGGCAAGATTTCATTCTTTTTGATTGCTGTGTAATACTCCATTGTGTGTGTGCATTGTGTGTGTGTGTATAAACACACACATACATATGGACATTTGGGTTCTTTCCATACTTTGGCTATTGTCAATAGCCTGCTATAAACATTGGGGTGCATGTGACCCTTCAAAACAGCACGCCTGTATCCCTTGGATATATACATAGTAGTGCAATTGCTGGGTTGTAGGTGGTTCTATTTTTAACTTTTTGAGGAACCTCCATACTGTTTTCCAGAGTGGCTGCACCAGTTGCATTCCCACCACAGTGCAAAAGAGATCCTCTTTTTCTGCATCCTCGCCAACGTCTGTTGTTGCCTGAGTTGTTAATTTTTAGCTATTCTGACTGGTGTATTTTAAATTTCAATTAACTCTTAGATATAAGGATCTTGAAATGAAAGATAATCATTTGATTGATTTGTCATATCGAAAATACTGATATTGTTATGTTTTCCTACAAAGAAAAGCAGTTTAGATTTATTTGTCTTACCTACACTACTGAAGAAACCAGATTTTTATGGTCATGTTAACGTATTTAATTTTTAAAAAAAATATTTTACATGTATTTATTTTTGAGAGACAGAGAGAGACAGAGCACAAGTTGGGGAGGGGCAGAGAGAGGAGACAGAATCCGGGGCAGGCTGCAGGCTCCAAGTTGACAGACAGCACAGAGCCCGATGCGGGGCTTGAACTCACAAACAGCGAAATCATGACCCGAGCTGAAGTCAGACACTCAACCGACCAAGCCACCTAGGCGCCCCCATATTTACTTTTCAGCCTGATGTTATATACTTTAAAAGGTCCAATACCTTCTGCTTTCAAAAATTAATTTGAGACTTTTGATTCTTGTGCTTTATGGCTGACATTAATTTCACTTGAGTATGTTTCTCAAATATTTCAGCTATAAGAAAATTTTTTACTCCAGAAATATTAACTTCATTCTATGCAGAAGAATCAACTCTCGTTTTCATTTCGCTAGAAAAATCTTGGTTTATTCCTCATATATGGGGTATTTCATATGTATGAATATTTTATTTCCTGTTATATTGCCAGCATGCTTTAGTTATGACACTGGTAGTTTTCTGGTTTAACTTTTACTCCCTCTGTTGGCTTTCAGAGGTGTTGCATTCCTTTTGGAATGGTGTCAGGAATAACATTTATGCTTACATTTTTATTTAACTCAAAAAATTAGTAATGATGCAAATATGCTTATGAAATAGGCTGCATATGAGATTGTTTTAAATTAATGTTTCCAGTGGCCGTGAATGTTCTGGTTTTCATGAATATGTTGAGGAATCTTCATCAGAATGTCTGTTTTATCAGCAGCTGAGAACAAGGCCATGAAAAACAAAAGATAGTAATACAGATTGTTCATGTTTATGGTAAGGGAAAAAGCAGCCTTGGCATGTTAGATTAAAAAAAGGATTTTCCAAGTATCTTCTAGTTGCTGTCTACCATATGTTGAACTGTCAAGTAACTTGATGGAGTGAAGCAGCAGAGCTGTCTTACAGCTCCTGATGAGTACATGTAGCTTAGTATTTGTGTCTGTCTGTTACCAGTGGGACATCATGGTAACTGCTTTCTATAACATCACATGTACAGAGTGAGGTATTTACTTGCCTTGTACATTCTTAGCATCATCCTTTTAAAACCAAACCACCAGTTAATGAAGACTGTATAGGTCACAAATCTTGCCGTTAAAGATTATGTCCTGTGTCTCCATGAGTTAGTGGAGTTGTAGCACATTCAATGGGGGAAGGATGTTAGGTTCTAAAGTTAGTATATAAAGGTGGAAAATGTATGTAGGGTGTTTTCTCTTCAACCCCTTAAGTCATTCATAGACTAGAGTGTACTAGGTTCACAAAGTAGTTGATCTGTATTTAGTGGCTATTGTTTATGAAATAAAGCATGTTGAAACACTAGGCTCACATTCAGCCTGATGAGAGGCATGTGGGAACTAGGAAGGACCATGAGGAAACAGTATCATCAGGCCTGGCATTTTTTTTTTAAGTTTATTTATTTTGAGTGAGAGAGAGACAGTGCAATCCAGGGAGGGGGGCAGAGAGAGAGAGAATCCAAAGGAGAGAGAATCACACTTCCAGTATGGAGCATGACACAGGGCTCGATTCCACAAACCGTGAGATCACGACCTGAGCTGAAATCAAGAGTTGGACACTTAGCTAACTTAGCCACCCAGGCATTCCAGGCCTGGCATCTTAATACCCCTGTAGAGCAACTCTTCCTGAGAGGAATAGCAAATAGGTTTGGTGCAGAGTTACTTTGGGTGCTCATTTGCCAAATGCATGTGGTTGAAGGTTTTTTTAAACACAAGTGTACATTTGGGGGCACCTGGGTGGTTCAGTCGGTTGAGCATCCGACTTTGGCTCAGGTCATGATCTCACAATTTGTGAGTTCGAGCCCCGCATCAGGCTCTGTGCTGACAGCTTGCTCAGAGCCTGGAGCCTGCTTCAGATTCTGTGTCTCCTTCTCTCTCTCTGCACGCCACCCCCCCCCACCCCGCACTCATGCTCTGTCTCTGTCTTTCAAAAATAAATAAATGTTCAAAAAAAATTTTAAACACAAGTGTACATTTGATGTTACTCCACTGTAGCTTCTTCTCTTTGAGGATTTGAGTATAAAATTATTGAGTATAGTTAACTTGTTCTGAGACTTTTGAAAAATCTCGTTCCCAGATTTTTTTTGAAGCATTCTTTTTCCTTTATGTTTAAGTCAGAACATACATATTTAACTATCAGAGTTTTGAGGCTCCCTTTTTGGACCATTTTAAATAAGGTTTTAAAGTTGAAAATCTTTGGATGCTTGTGCTGGGCTTGCAAGTTCAGTAATTAAGGATTAATATCGTGCCATTATTAGTAATTGTGTATGCTAGTGTTTTGGTAATACTAATAAGTCCTTTGAATTTGACTTAGGCAGATAAACATGTATTTTAAAGGCCTGTGTGATGGTAATTTTTGCTACCCATTTAGAAAGGTATTCATTAAATAATCTACTATTTCTGTTTATTGATTTTGTGTGTTTTTGTACAGGTTGCTTTCCTGTTGCATCTTTGACCTAGTTTCCTAGACTCTGCTCCATGATTGAACTTGAAAGTCTGAAATGAAGATGGAGGAGGCAGTGGGAAAAGTCGAAGAACTCATTGAGTCTGAAGTCCCACCGAAACCATCTGAACAAGAGACAACTAAGGAGGAAGATGGATCTGTAGAACTGGAATCTCAAGTTCAGAAAGATGGGGTAGTGGATTCTACAGTTCTTTCTTCAATGCCCTGCTTGTTGATGGAACTGAGAAGGGACTCTTCTGAGTCTCAGTTAGCATCCACAGAGAGTGACAAGCCAACAACTGGCCGAGTTTATGAGAGTGACTCCTCTAATCACTGCATGCTTTCCCCTTCCTCTAGTGGTCACCTGGCTGATTCAGATACCTTGTCTTCTGCAGAAGAGAATGAGCCCTCCCAGGCAGAAACAGCAGTGGAAGGAGACCCTTCTGGAGTGTCTGGTGCCACTGTTGGGCGCAAATCTCGGCGGTCCCGATCTGAAAGTGAAACATCTACTATGGCTGCCAAGAAAAACCGGCAATCCAGTGATAAACAGAATGGCCGAGTCGCCAAGGTTAAAGGTCATCGGAGCCAAAAGCACAAGGAGAGAATCAGGCTACTGAGACAGAAAAGGGAGGCTGCTGCGCGGAAGAAATATAACCTATTGCAGGACAGTAGTACCAGTGATAGTGACCTGACTTGTGACTCAAGCACGAGCTCATCAGATGATGATGAAGAGGTTTCAGGGAGCAGCAAGACAATCACTGCAGAGATACCAGGTAGAGGATGTTTTTTAAACTGACTGTAGAGCAACCGATGGCATTTCTAAGCTGTCAGGCCGAGTTAGATGAGTGACACTTGAAAAAATCCAGGAGACCTGCAGCTCTGTGTAAATTTGAAGACTGCAGTGTATTAACAAGACATGGCCAGTTTAAAAACCTGTTCTGAGGTTTCCAGTGCACTTTTGCACATCAGCAAAAAAAAAAAAAAAAATATTTGAATGGTTAATAATAGGGACAAGATTATTTTTAAGTAATGGAATTTCCTTTCTCTGTAACCCATTACCTGAACTCCCATCATTGCCTTTTTAGCACTGCTTAGATTTAATACTCACTGATCAGCATTATTACTAAGTAAATCCTCCTCAGGAATAGGCACCTTGCTTTATTGTATAGCCACTGTACTCGAGCTTATGGTGTCTGAAATAACACGTTCTATCTTCCGTTAAAGTTTTCTAATAACTGTTCCTCCAAAAACCGTAGTTTTAGGCGTTTCCCTCCAGTTCAGTGCATGATAAGATAGTTATCCTTGTGGCACATTTTTCTATTCTAAGTTGTCACTTGCATTGAAAAGAATGCTTTTTGCAGAATTCCCTCCTTTATCCCCCAAGCTTTAAGAAGTTTGTCAGAAATCTGTTTATTCTAGCTCTTATTGGTGTAAGCGTCTGTAATTTATTACATGTTTGACATACCTGTTTTCTCCATATTACCATATTTGGTACTGTGTACTACAAAGGCAGTCTTGAGAGTTCAAGGTGGAAGAAAGACGAAGTCTGAGCAGTTCTTAATTGGCGAATTCTCATTATTGAAGAGACTCTTATGATTAGGAACATTTTATAAACTACATGGCATTTAATAGATAATGACAGCATTGTTTATTGCTACATTAAAGAGGGGGAGGTTTTGGTTTTTAAAATTTTATGGGTGATTGTTTTTTCCTCCTAGTTTTCTGGAATGTTTGTTTCTACACATGAAGACAGCATATTGCTGATAATACAAAGAATATTTCAAGAAAAATCATATTGGTTAATTAAACCTATAGCCAACCAAACTTCTATAAACTCAGTAACAATGATTTTATAGGTGTTCATCTCATAATAAAAGTCTCATCCTTATAGTACATTAAATATGAGTTTTTAACAATTAGAAATGCTTACTGTTTTAATATCTGTTGAATTCCTTTGGTAGTTCTCTGTGTTAAAATTGCTGGGGAGGGGATTTAACTGATGTTCATCAGTTGAAAGCATGAGAGAGCAGATTTTGGGGTTGTTCTCCGGCAGGTTCTAGGTATATTTCAGTTTTACATTTAATAATGTGTTTAAGAAAGCTTGATTAACACCTGTAAAATTTGTTTATTCATGCATTCTCATGTCCTGTGTTCTAATCTATTAATTAAGATCATAATCTTCAATACAGTGCTTAATTTCACTCACCGAACAGAGTTTTAGGTACCACGCCAATATTTTACCTCCTTATGGAAAGGGAAAAGAAGGCAGGTGAACAGAATTCTTTTTGACAATAGATCCAGTTATGGAAGTGGCATGAGAAATGTCTTTATGGGCACTCCCCCTGTTTGGCTTACGTAGATTAGGTATGCTTTGTGTATATTATCCAAACTTCCTTGGTTAATGACTGCTTTCACCAGTGTGTAAAACTTGAAAACACCAGTCTGTTTCTTGTCTATTCTGAAGTGTATGCAAACCAAAACACCAAAGTAAATTATCTGAATCTATGATTTAATTTCTTTTGCTTACACCACTTAGTAAGTTTGTGGCTTTTGAAAGTTTGTGGAATTTTCTAAGGTAATCCCAGAGAATCAAATGGTAGGTAAGGTGCTGGGCCACTGTATATGACTGCCTACACTGCACACCACATGTTTCAGGAGGTACTGTTCATATAGGTGGGTATGCAAAGCGCAAAAGAGGGAACAGCCTACGTTTAAATATTAGGAAGTTCATTTCAACTGTCTATATTGCTACCCCTAAAAAATTGTGACAGCGTGCATTTGTAATGTAATAATAATGTACCCCTCAGTTTCCTGAGTCACATTATGACTTCAGGAAGGGGATATACTCAACCTTATAGCTAGGGCAGTTGTTGAAGAGTTATATAAATTGTAAAGATAGGATAAATTATGAACTGACTTGAGGGCAGCAACATGGACATTCAGGTGAACTTAAACTGGATGTACCTGATGGAATCTCTTAGATTTTGAAATTTGAATAAGCTGTTTACACAGAATGAAAATCCAGAGGAAAAGTAGAAACTGAGATTCTTGTTATACTTTTTCATCAAGGTACAACTGATTTAGTAATTCAGAAAATGCTTCATTTATAAGCTTTGTTAGGATAAATATTGAAGGAATTATGCTAAATGTTCTCTTATGCCAAACAATTTACAATTAATGCATTTTCTTTTAAAGAGTGAAGATAACGATGCAGACTTGTACAGTGTCTGATCATGCTTAGTAATTGAGTTTGATATTTGGAAACAGAGGTTTATGAGGATTTTTGGTTTTTAGTTAACTGACAGGCAGCGTAGCATCCACACTAAGTCATTCTCTCCTTGAAGTCTTTGAGAACATATTGCTGTTTTTTTTCTTTTTTTTTTTAACATTTATTTATTTTTGAGACAGAGCATGAATGGGGGAGGGTCAGAGAGAGAGGGAGACACAGAATCTGAAACAGGCTCCAGGCTCTGAGCAGTCAGCACAGAGCCCGACGCAGGGCTCAAACTCACGGACCGCAAGATCATGACCTGAGCCGAAGTCGGACGCTTAACTGACTGAGCCACCCAGGCGCCCCATATTGCTGTTTTAAGAATCTGTTTGGAGATACCATATCAAGATAATTCGGGCAGTTCTTGCATGTGAGGAACTTAGAGATGAGCAAACATAGAGTATTTGTAGTGAATATTAATGTGAAAATGCTTCATGGTAGTCTTGAGTATTTGAGGCTTTTAATCAAATGTCTCATTTATCTTTATAGATGACCTTTTTGTACTCTTGATCACTCTTTGCAGTTTTATGGTGAGAGCATTATTTCTTCTGGTGATGGGGGAAGGGGATGGGACAGAATGTCACTTCTCTGTAAAATCACTCTAAGTTGAGACTAGTTCTGTAAAGTATGCTCTTGCAGGGAATTTTGATTTTAGTGAATATGAGTAATGGACATCAGACTTCATTAAGTTCAAGGAATTAGTTCTCTGAACAGACTAACTTGTGTCCATCAGTGTACGTGGACAGCAAGGAAAAGTTTTTCTAGTAACTTATTTTTGATAAATATTTAGCATAGACTAAACCTCAGGGTGGCTTCATCTTGTCTTGGCTATAATGATCTGCTTTTGTGTGGTTTAATAGTCTACCATATAAATGCCTTTTCAGACTGAGGTACCAAAATAGTATCTGCCTTCGTAGGTAAGGGTCAGTTGTCTTGGCAGGTTTGCATTTAGAAAATCTAATTGATCTATTTTGGAGAATGTTGGGGGAGGAGGAGGGCTGTTGAGGACAACTGGCTAAGATCACCTGAATTCTCAGTCCATGTGGCCAGGCTCAGCCCCAGTGAAGCCAGGATCTCAGTACCCCTTACTCACCATACACATTTATGCACTGAAATGCATCATGATACACTATCATCTTAGCTCACAGTTTTTCTGAGGTAAAGACTTAGGCTTGATCAATTAACCTATGCTTGGAAATGAAAAAGAATTTTTTTTTAAGTAGTAAATGCCTTGTAGAAAATTTTGAAAATAGAAAAAATGTGAAGTAGAAGATTAAAGTCACAATTCTACTTTTGTTAACATTTGAGTATGTTGCCTTCCCATAATATGTAACAAAACTATCACAATATGTATATGTCCATCTTCCTTTCTCTCTTAAAGTTGGGTTTTGAACTTTTTAACAAAATATAATATTCTCCCTACAGTGTATGGATTTTGAATTATTTAGCTAACCATAAAATAAATTCCCCAGTGTTGGTCCTTTGGGCTGTTTAATACTTAAAGGCTCTTGACACATAATTGCCAAACTGCTTTTTAAAATATATTGTTTATTGTGTTCAGGAGTTTGTGTATTCGTTGCATTATATTCTTTCTGTTGAATATATTTTAAAAAGTCTTGCTGATTTCATGGAAGAATTGTATCTTAGTGTTAATTTGCATTTCTTTGATCACTAGTGAGACTGAAAAATTCTGTTTGGTCATTTGTTATTTCAGCAGACGTTCTGTTCATGTTCTTTGCACATTTTCCTCCTGCCACATTTGTTTTTCTTGTTGATTTGTGAGGGTTCTTAGCCTATTGGGGATTGAATTACTTGGAAAATTGTTTATATTGATTTAAGCATTGGGAATTCACGGAGATGACCCCAAACCCACATAAGCAGTCCCATAACCTTTTTCCTAGATTGCATATTAAGTGGGTAAAAGCCCCACTTTCCCATTTTAAGCCTCTTGTAATCTTACTGTATTTTGGTAGCTATTTTGGACACTCACTAAATACACTGATAACAAAATACCAAGATGTAGCAATCAGGTGAAAACTGCCTATTTTCAGCTTAGTAAATGCAATCAGTGCAGGTAAAATCCATGCAGTTTTCAACCTAACAATATGTTAGACTCACTTGGGAGCACTTAAAACTAATGATGCCCAGGCCCCACTCCAGACCAATTAAATCAGAATCTCTGGGTCTTACCCAAGGCATCAGCATTTTTTCCCAGCTTTTTTGAGATACAGTTGACATACAACATCATGTAAGTTTAAGATGTACAATGTGATGCTTTGGTGTATGTATAAATTGCAAAATAATTAGTACAGTAAGCTTAGTTAACACTTCTGTTATTTCACGTAGTTATGTATGTTGAGAACTTTTAAGATCTGCCATCTTAGCAACTTTCAAATATACAATACAGCATTGTTAACTGTAGTCACCATGCTGTACTTTACATCCTCAGAATTTATTCATCTTATAACTGGAAGTTTATACCCTTTGATCACCTTCACCCAT